GTGTGTGTGTGTGTGTGTGTGTGTGTGTGTGTGTGTGCGCAACAATGCTATAAAGTGATGGAGGAATGTGCTTTCACTCTTTAATGAGGTTCATCAAAACAGTGAAGGCATCAAGAAACTAGCCTCTTCACACGCGAGGGGAAGAGGATGATGGTTCGCAAAACAGTAAAATATGTAAAACATTACATCATATAGCCAAAATAATCTTCATCGCCCCCCTGGTGGCTGGCTGCAGTATAGGTTAATGCTAACGTTGGCTATGTAGCACAACTGTACATGTCGCCTCTTTAAGCAGCAGAAGAAGAAAACCAGACTGACCTGTTGCCCTTCGACGTGAGGAGGTCTTCACCTGGAGCCGTTTCAAACCTGAAATGACAAAATGAAAAGTTCAGAGGTGTCGTCTCCTAATCGGATGGAGACGTAAACAGTTAAAAAACAAACCGAACAAAAATCGGCAGATGAAGGGGAAAAAAAACTGATGATACTGGAACAGAAGGTGAGAGAACGAGTTAATTTACAGCAGAAAGACGACGGAGCGGAGATTTACTGACGGAGGCAAAACTCAGGTTTTCTTTTCCAAATGTGACGAGTTTCTTCTTCTTCATTACCTCTGATGATGGTAAATCACAGGTTCCACATTGTACCTCCTGGTGTGTGTGTGTGTGTGTGTGTGTGTGTGTGTGTGTGTGTGTGTGAGTGCGTGTGTGTAGTCTATATAAATCTACAGTGTGTTTTCTTTCGCTCTGCTCGAGTGGAAAATTTTTCTAATGACTTTTTATCTGTGACGCCGAACATCACATTAACGAACACACACACACACCATATGGTAATGAAATCAAGCAGGACTTGCAGAGGCCAAGGACACACACACACACACACACACACACACACACACACACATTCTCTGGCAGATGGAAGATAGAGGTCGACAAAACAAGAATCCTGTGTGACCTCTCACACCTCATCTAAGTGACTTCATGCATGTTTAGCTATTGTAAGTGTACACAACAGTTCATTATAGCACAGAAAAACATGCATGTTTCTGCTTGTATGTGTGTGTTTCCATCAGCGCCGCAAGGAAAACATCCAGGTTTCTCATCAGTTCCAGGAAGACAACAAAGTTTGTGACCTCCATTGCCTGTGTGTGTGTGTGTGTGTGTGTGTGTGTGTGTGCACCAGATATCATCTCTAATCTGCCATCAATCTGGATTTATTGTAAACGGCTGCAGATTCACCTGCCAGACAACACACTCATTCAGCCCCCACAACCTTTTGGCCTTTGCCCCACCCACACAACTGCAGAGGTTCAGACAGAGAATTTAAATAAAGCATTTAATTCATTAAGCTGTTTGCGAACAGATAAACAAATGATTATTTCTAACTAATTAAATCTTTAATATTGATATTCGGTTGATTGACTTTCACGTATGTTTGTGTACAGATTAAAATAAAACAAGAGAAAAGATCTTAATCTGTGAGCTGTTACTTTTCCACAGAGCCAGGCGAGCAGTTTGCGTCCTCTCTTGATGCTAAGCTACGCTAATCACCTGCTGGTTGTAGCTTAGGTTTGAGCACTGATGCGTGAGTTAGACTCGGGGAGGAAAGGAATAAGATGTAGGCAGAAAGATAATACTTTTTTTTTTTCCCATGCATCAGGGTTCTCGTCAACAAACAGATCCACAGAGAAAACAATATTTCAGCACAGCTTTGTGCTCCTCACTGATTTCATCTGCTTGTTTGACGTTGATTTCTCCGGCTGATTCTGTTTCACACACAATAGACGACTCGTTATTTAGTCTACCGGCTTTTCAGTACTTTTACATTCACAGACAAACATTTCTAAACAAGCTGGAGGACAGTAAAAGTTAAAAAAAACCCTCATATGTCTCCTTTAATAAAACACTAATATTCTTTCCTGTGTGTTAATTAAGACATTTAAAGAATTAGGACCAAAATTCTGAGTTTAATAAAACATCCATTTCTGATGCTCTTAGTTTAATCCAATTTATCTGTATGGCGCCAAATTAATTACGATAACGTGGAGAAGCCCGACAGTTCCCATGGCGACCAAACACTTTGGAGAGAAAAACTTTCAACAGGATGAAACTTTTAGCAGAACCAGACCGTATGGTTACACCAAAAACAAAGGCATTTAGACTCTAGCTCTACCGCCGCCGCTCAGCACTGGTTGTTTGGCTTTAACCATTAAAAACATCTTTCCATCCCTGTTTCAGCCCGAGTCGCGGCCGCGTCTCAGATAAGATGGCCGACATGACAATCTTAACGATCTGACCTCCTCTGGCAGGAGTTCATGAACCGGAGGTAGAATCCAGTAAATCTTATCTGCCTCAGCCTCCCGCCTCCGCTCGCTCAGATAACGCTCAACCTTCACCTTGTAACATTTTCAGGTTCAGTTACGTCTCTGCCCGATGACATTTTATTGAATCGAATCCAAACTGTCAGAAAAACACAGACTCGCCATCCATCAGTGTTTTATTCCACCTCCTACGTTTTTTTTTTTCTCCTTTCTATATTAATCCCATATATTTTCCGTCTTTTCATATATTCTGCACTCGCTCCTTTTTCATCTCGACTCTGACACCTCGGAGTATCACTCTCACACACCAACCTGCACGTGAACTCTCCGCTGGCTGTGGAATGACTCAGGTGTTTTTCCATATATGTATATGTGTGTGTGAGCACGTGCAATAAATGCCTGTGTGTGTGTGACAATATAGTATTGTTTGTTTGCAACGGAGTGTGAGTGTGTGTGTGTGTACGTGTGTGTGTGTGTGTGTGTGTGTGTGTGTGTGTGTGTGTGTGTGTGAGAGAGTGTGCGCATGAGAGAGTCAGGTGTCAAGTTTACCCCCCGATCGACCCAACCTGGGAATGATCTAGTCTCAGCGGGGGAAGCCAAAACTGCTCCTCTATGTGTGTGTGTGTGTGTGTGTGTGTGTGTATATGTGTGTGTGTGTGTGTGTGTGTGTCTAACCCTGAGATGACTCATAAACCATCTGGAGGCCAGATGCAGATTAGAAAACTACTCTCTCTCTCCCTCTCGCTCTACTCTCTCTCCAGTTGCTGTTAGTTCCCTTAGTTAACCCATGAACTTTGACCTCTATGCTGTGGCGTGGCTGCGTGCGTGTGTGTGTGTGTGTGTGGCGAGGCTGAGACCTTTCTCGGAGCTTGTGAACTCTCCCCCCGGTGACCTCCGCAGTTCAAGTTCACTAATTGGCCGTGTTCTCAAACAACCTCCACCTTTCTCCTCCTCCCTTCCTCTGCTGCCTCTCCTCTTCCTCAGCTCCTCCTCATACAGCTGCTCGGAGAAAACAGACCCTCGAATGTGTCGTGGACGTGTTTTCTGAGCGGTCCCAAAGTAACTTAAGCGTCTTTCCCTTGAGCAGATACATAAAGTTAAGAGTTTGGGATATAAGTTGATCACAGTTTTACACAGCAACACAAATGAGGACTCCTACAAAGGCCACAGTTTAACAACAACAACAACAACACACAATGGCGTCTGGTTAAAGACAAGTATCTCACACCAAAATAAAACTGGATCAAACTACATGTTTACTCTAAACCACTAAAGAAGAGCTTCTCTTGGGATTTTGAGGTGAACTATCCCCTTAATTAAAGTTTTTTCCCATGAAAACATTTCTCAGAATTCTGAAATAATGAGCTTGTGAATTCAGAAAAACAGAGTAGATTGTTTTTTCTCAAGTCGATGCAGTATGCTTCCAGCAGGCTCATCTTTCTGTGAAGTGTAAAGGAAATCACGAATACGGCCGAAAAACAAACCACCCGACAGACAGGGGTGAAAACACAACCTCCGCGGTGATGATAATGAGTTAATGCCTCTCTTAGAGCCTGATGTCTTTCTAAATCCTCTTTATTCTATCCATTCTTTATTTTATCTCTCACATTTAGATATGTTTTCATCTGAGTCTGTTATTAAGATGGATTACACAAAAACTACTGAACCAAGAAACTTATTGGAAGGATGTGGAAAGAACTCATTCAGTCTTGGTGTGGATCCAGAGTTTGTTTTCACCACATTGAGCCAGCAGATGTTTTTCAATATTATAATTCATATAATTATTGTTATTATTACTATTAATATTATTGTTATAATCATTTCTGATTCCAGCTTCAGTTGAAAATGAAAAACACAATAAATGATTGTTGCCATGTGCAGTTTAAACAGATTTAGATGGAGGCTCTGCTCCACAGCACAGGTGCATCAGTGGCTCTGCAGGTAAATGGCAGAAGCACCTGCAGCTGCTTCGCCTCCTCGGTCCCACTGCCTCTATTTAAAGTCATTACTCAGTCAAACATCAACACACAGACATGACACTAACATGTTTACACTCGTGGGGACTCACCCTTTCAGCGGATGTCAACATATCCGGTGTCCCCGGTGGATAAACGTCCAGAAACCCGATGAGAAATCCGCAGCGAAACAAGAAACTCCCACTGAATCCGGAACTCGCTTGGGAATCCTCGCGTTTTGAAGTTTCTGTCAGTCTCATAGTAACCCAGAGACAGTTACATTAATACGGACGTGTTGAATGAAGATAAGAACTGCCACTCTATGGTTCGGCCTGTTTTCTAACTGTGTCATTTGGACGCGATGTCTCCGAGGACAGACTGAGACACAACTCGGCAAACACGGCTGGAGTTGTTCGGGCTAATTAATAGACTTCTTCCCTGAGTGTGAAGGTGGCGCTCACAGCAGCGGGTTTAGGAGTAGATCGCCCCCTGCTGGACAGGAGGATGTAACTGCAGGGCTTCGCCTTCACGTGACAACCGCAGTGAACGATCTTCTTCTTCTTCTACGTTCATGGAAATAAAATGAGTTTATTAAAAAAGAAAAAGGGCTAACGTCATTATATAGCTCGGGGGACATCCCATCATTAACATTTCACTTCCTGTTTACGTCACTGCTAGGCCTTGTGGGAATTTTAGTTTCAAAACTTATAGCAGGATTCTCAACCAAGCAACAGTTGTTGTTAATGTGATTATTTAATTCAATTTATAGATAAAGAAAACAATCAAATGTATTTACTTTGTGTTCCACTAGAGGGCGCTCACTATCTGGTTGACCTGTTGCATGCCCTCTCTGTAGAGTGAGCTAGTAATGTAATGTCAACACACTCGAGTGGATTGTGTTTCTCGACAAATTCCGTTTAAACTTGATTCTTCAAAAAAAAAGTGACGGCCTGTGTGTCACATATTGATCTGCACTGAAATCATGAATCTAACTTCTTTAATTATGGGGAATGAGATATGAATTAAACAATTAAATAAACAATTTCTATAGGTTTCAAATTATCCAAACTACAGTTAAATGTAAAAAAAAAAACAACAGTTGTTCTTTTGCAGACTCTCATCCCTCTCCTCCGTTTGCTCCTGCTCTCCGTCCCGGCTCCCTTTCGGGAGGAGGGGGGAACAGAATCAGATAATTATGAGATAATTGGATCTATCTGGCTGCTTTGGGGAGACACGTTGCAGAAACATAATGAGGATAATGTCTTAAGTGCCGCCACAATGTTTCCGCAACAGAGGAACAAAGACTTCCACGGTGTGAACACGCAGGCCGCTGCCCCGGGCCATTCTCCGTCGGTGAAACACTTGTTTATTTGCTGTCAGTTATTTCCCCAACTACACCGACCCCTGGTCTTACCAGTAAATCATCACAATGGTAGTGTATGTGTGTGTATGTGTGTGTGTGTGTAAAGTGTGCGTGTGTGTGTGTTCCACCACTAAACAAAGACAACGAGACAACAGAGCTGGATTTCTGTCTTTTGTTCGGCCAAATGTTCTGATTTCACCCCAGAGAGGACGATTTGTGCATGAGCTGGCGAATAAACGCTTCGATTAGATTTCGAGATTGTTATTGTGTGAGACTTGATGTGTGTGTGTGTGTGTGTGTGTGTGTGTGTGTGTGTGTGTGTGGTTGATAATAGTAATTAAGTTGGCGAGAGATGAGTGAAAACAGTTCCTCACTAAAACCGAACTGAAGCGTTGATTGGCCAATTGAACTTCTTCCTCTCGTGGTTTTCACTTCCTTGGATTTCGCAATTTTCTGAAAGTTCACGACCTGTGACTGCTGATGTTTCAGAAATTAGATCAGGGGAGTTCTTTTTTTCGTCATGTATATTTAGTGGTCAGATTTTCTATGTTGATATTTCTAACACCTGCCTGATAGCTTGCTGAGTGGTGCGTGCAGTGCTTTTATTTTTGAAGGCGGGTCAGAGGTGAAATGCAGCAGCAGCTGGATCATATTCATCAATATGCATGAACTTTGGTTTTTCTCCTAATGTGCTCATAAACCAGTGGTTATAAATGTGGAGGGTCGTTGGAGGGGGGAGGGAGGGAGGGAGGAGGGGTGATTCATTCATGTGGGGAAAATAAACAAACAAGCGTTTGCTGACGATGTCGATCGGACCTTTATTTTACTAAAATCCAACTTGGGAGCTTTTTTATTTTATTTGAGGGATGTGCATGAGAGGACCACAAACCTCAGTCAGGCTCTGGTTCAGCGGGTTCCAGTTACGTCCGTCTCTCAGGACACTTTTCAGGATTCATGGTCAAATTCTGGGCAGACTTTGCTTTTTTAATTGAAAGAATTAAGAGACAGAAACGGGTGAACCACATGTTTAGATTAACCACAAAGCCATAATTAACATAAAACACAAACATGGCCATCAAGTCCGAACACGTACGACATCTCTGCGTTGTCTCGGGACGTAAATCGCAAACATCACAAATTCCTCCCCGCGGCTGGGGCGTACATTTAAAGCGACTAACCAGGGCCCGGTCCTCTTCCGTGGCGTCCACCATGTTAAACTCTCATGTTCCTACAGTAGCTCAGAATGGACAAACCATAGTATCGTATTAAAAACAAACGGCCAGTCAAAGTTCGCGGCATACTTATCCAACTACTAAATCCAAACTGCTCCTTAAATCCAGAAACCTCCAGCCAATCAGAATCAAGAACGACGCATGAACCCAAACCCAACAGGCACAATGAAGCGTGTGCACAATGACACACAGCAACACAACTTGGCCACAATGTACAAACACTGTAAACACGTAACTGTAAACACATTTTTCCAGCGAAGAACATAAACCTGACACGAACACATCGCAATGTGCAGTGAAAACAAACAGAGCCCGACATATCTGGAAGCCACGTTCACGTCCAGCACCTCACAGACGTTATCGTGCTGTAAAACAAATCACCGAAATGTGATTCAGTCAAAATTGATGTTTCTACCTCTCACACAGTCAGAATCACGACTTCCACTAAAAGCCGCACGCTGACGACCGCGTGTTTAACGACCTTTACTGTAACTCTAATGAATCACATCGATAAATCAGCGCTGCAGTCATTCGTCAGGAGTTCACGTTCTCTGTGCTGGGATCTGACATTTCCATGAACCATGGTCTTGATGTTCATCAGATGAACAGAGGGGTGGACGAAGCGAGGGATGAAAGAAACGATAGAAATCTGTCGGACAGATGCCTCTCTCTCTCTCTCTCTCTCTCTCTCTCTCTTTCCCAATCATCATGTTGAATAATCTCTATAATGTGTGTGTGGAGTATTTTCCCACAGAGAAACAAAGGATGTCCATCGCGTCCTGTGTGTGTGTGTGTGTGTGTGTGTGTGTGTGTGTGTGTGTGTGTGTGTGTGATCTCATTACTGATTAACACTCTTCGTGATGTCAGAG